GAGCAGCCTGAAGTAGGCCGAGAAATGACTGATTTAAGTCGAGAACATGAAATACATTAACAAGCTCAGATGGCATTTACAATAGCGTTATACGTCAGTGTATAGCGTTATACATCAGTGGTCTTTCCATTTACGGCTTATCAGTGTTCAAATAAAGTAATCGTAGCTTTTTTACTGTTTATGTCTCTCAGTACAGGCAGTTGTTGAAACTTTCGGTTTGAGCTTTGACATTTACCCTATGAAAACAGGGAAACATGATAGCAGATCCAAGAATAACGCCTGGCGAGTGCCGACTGTCATGAAGGCCTGGCTGACATTTGCCCACATTGGTGTTGGTGGTTATCAAGGTGTGAATGACAAATGGGTAATCCACTGAGGTCTAACGACCAATGGCTGTCAGGCTCAGTGACTCCATCGGCGTGGTTAGACAATCCAGGTATAGTCAGGGCCTAAAAATTAGACGAACCAGGTTGTAATCGTCGACATGCGGATGAGAGTTGCACACATGGGAGATTCTCCCTATGGCGAGTTTGTCCATTGTTAAAACATAATATCAGGTAAAAATATCTAAGGACATAATTTCACACAATAAATACATTATTATCTTTTTGCATTTAGTGAACCAAGGCTCTTCTCTGATAGAGTGGCATCAGCAAAATATGTGTTTCGGAAAGCGAGTTTCCGTTAGTGTCATATCTTGATCATTATTGCAATTATTATTGTTCATAAAAGGGAAATCTCCTAAAGATGCCTAGCGAGTGTTGATGGTTATCGAGGTGTCGATGACAGGTGCTCAAATGGACAAACCCTCCCCGCGATGCCGAGCGAGTGTTGATATTTGTAAAATGTCTTGCTTGCGTAGGTTATTTACATTTGACATTGAGGTACTTTGTGTATGATATATATTGATAGTATCATCTTAGCTGTGGGTACAATATGACTTGATAAACAACCCTATTCTGTCATCTGGTGATTTGTTTGAGTGTATGGCTCTGAAACGTGTTTTCGATAAGATGAAGAGGATGTTTGACTGTTATTAATATGGTGCTTAATGGCAAACCGTACAGTACAATTGATTTTGGGTATTAAACCCCCTCACAACGGCAGAAAACAATACATATCTACATGGATGAAATCGCCCCACAGACATGCACCAAATCTCCGATCATGATTTCGAATTCGTGCCCAGAAGAGACTCCGGAATATCATTGGTCCCAGTCGGCATGTCTGTAGCAGGTTCCAAAATCGTTTGGGTTAGCCTACTGGCTGATTAAGCCGCCTCGTAATATCAATGTCAATAATAATATCAATATCAGTGGTTTGTAGCCATCTAAGAATTGCATCACTTGACGTTGAAGCTCCCACGTCGGGCCCCGTCTGCTTTGATATATCTGACCCTCTGTTCAAAGTGTGACTTACCGACACGTGCATGAACCCTACTATTAGCGATAAGGCTATTATTGTATGAATGCAACACCAGTAAACTGTTTAAAAGGACGAACAAACAAGGAAAATAGTGGCTGATATGAGTAGGTGAAATGCGAAGTGAAAATATGATATTAGCTTTGACATTGGTCACATAATTCCAGAAAAAAACATTCGCCTGTTTATTTCGGGTTTATTTGCACGTAGGAGAGCCATTAAAATGTGTGTACAATGCCTTTGGTTCAGCCTGCTACACGGGTATACAGAGCTGCCATTGATGTTTTCTTTCCGCCTGTTTATCTATCAGGAAGAAGATTGTTGTTAAAGATATTAGTGTTACGTGCAATTGCATAGTGTAGACAGTATCGCGTGAGTGAGTGAGTGAGATATACAGCTCACGTCGATTCTAGCAGTGGATTAGATTGGAATAGACCTTCGAACCCGTTTACGCCCATTTTAGTGACATAATACTGTATGCATGGGAGTCCAATCACTTCCAGTCATTCTTGTAGGTTGATACATGTGTTTGCCAATAACAGGTATCGTTGTACATGTAACTCAGTGGAAACCCCATCTGAACGAAAATGCAGAGGTACTTGTCGATGTTGAGATATGTACACCATCCCTTGATTGTTACATTGTCCTTTCATTTTGGTCTTCTAAACACCCATCTCTGTTTGGTAAAAGTTGAGATGGAAACGTTTCAGTATGTCTTATTTGTAAAATTGGCTTCTTGTTGAAGAGTTACTTGTGTAAACAATACACACCAGCCAAAAGTGAGAAACACTTGCCCGTGTATTGGAGCTCGGCAGTCGAGGAATACTGGATGACGCACGAGAACATCTGGTGCATGCAGTGTTATGTTCATTTTCCTCTAGAATCGATCCACTTAACATGTAGACAAAACACAATAGCTGGGATGGAAAAAGCACACGCAACTGTGCTGCACTTGTCGACTGAATGCCTTCTGTACAACCTTGAACGTCATGCCCCTGTATAGGCGGTAGAGCGTAAGCTGGGTTTGCCTGTTGAACGGGTAAGCTCTGCGTTATTCTCCAGGTTTCTGTCAAGCCACTGTCCCCAGATACCTTGATAATAGTAAACACTCCTACCCGGCAAACTGTGCGCGATGTTTGTATCAAGAGGTGTATGATGCGCAGTTATTTTAATACAGTTAATAACCTATCCGATGACCCTTAAGCAGGATGGTTGATCCAATGCAAGTAGTTCTTATTGTAACTTAAGATACATGCAAACGTTAAGTTTTCGACAAAACGATCTTCCGGGAGATATTGGAAAGCTTCATGACTGTGCGTGTCCCTCCTGTTTGATGTTGTTGCGGGCGTGTCTTGCCGCTGATACACTGGCGACTGGAATAGGTGTTGTAAGGCTATTTATAAGTTTGGAAATTCCTGGAAAGACTGCTGTGAAGTACATAAACAGGAATAAGAGTCGACACTGGATTGTTGACGTGATGATATTGATACTGCAAAGAACATGGTAAACAGATGTACTAACAAGAGAAATCAAAGCTTTGTGAAGTGAGGTGAGGTGTGATCGAATCCGCGACCTTCCGCTCTCCGCTTTGTGAAGTTGATTTATCAGGAAACAAGTGGCAAACAACTATCTATTCCCGAACAGGAATGACTGTAGACTTCAGAGCGGCTCCACTCATGTAAATTTGTATTTCACATACATTTCACATATTCCATGTAAATGAGAGATGTGGACAGTTCAGTTACTCATTTTCAGCAACTCAGGCAGCGCTCATGCGTGCGCTGTTGTGCATGCATGACGCTGTTGTCCTAACATATGTGAAGGGTTATATCATGTGCCTTCTTTATTATTACAACAATACTATATCACGCACTATCAACTGTTGAGACGACTTCCTCGTTGCACAAAAATACCTCGGTGGAAGAATAATCGGGTACTGAAAACATTCAAAACCGGTATTTCAGTTGTGAATTTAGTTACCTCACTGAGACAAATGGGTTATGTTTGCACAACAGTATAGACTGAATAAACGGCACAGGATTCCCTTGCATACAGAGCTTGTCTCTTTCACTGTCAGTTGCGGACTCTGTAGGAAAGAAAGAGTATTGATCTTTGACCTTACCTGGAGTGTATTGAAATAACGTTTCCCATCCTGGTCATGTTGCATATACATGACGTTGTGTCGACACACCTGTCGTGTTTTGTTGGAACTTCTGAGAACATATAGCGTGTGTTGCTAGAGCCCTCGTTGATTTGTTTCGATACGACGTGGATGCTTGAAGTCAGGCTAAGACGTCACACGCTGTGTATGAAGGATATACAAAAAGACATAGACTGGGACGTGTGACGCTGCAATGAAGACCTGGAACATACTGGACTGTGTGTGGATAGGAATTATCTTCGGAGCTGTGCTAGGTAATGGTGAGTGTACATACTTGTCAAATGACTGACTACCCACAACGCACACAGGTTTTAAAAACCGGAACTATACTAACGGAAGAAAGTAACTGTGCATTATTTATTTGATTTTGCATAAAAATATAACAAAGCATTTTGCGTGAAATTTGATGTCAAGTATCGCGCACGTGCGCTTTGTACACAATGAACATACCTTTTGCATGCCTATGTGCAGCCGTTCATTCAAGGACAAAGACGTAACTTCACGCTTCAGCAAAATAATACCCGTCCACATATCGCTTGTGTTGTGTCAGATTTCCAGAGACAGCAGAACGTTCCGGTACTCCCCGTGCCAGCTGTTCCGAGGCTGTCTATCGAGCACGCTTGGGCTGAAATAATACCAGGTTGTTATATTCCAGTAGTATATTATTGAATGAAATTAGTTGAACGCCTTATGAGACCTGTCTTTTAAGGTACATATTTGATAAAATATACTTATCATTCGGGTCCCAGGTTTAATTCCCTAAATGGAGACAATGAATACCATGTGTGAAGCCTATTCATAATATGGTGTGCGTTGTCGCAATATAAGATATGTATTGGCGTTTTAGGGTACCCTGCGGTACATTGATTCAGTGTAGTGTGTTGATAACGATATCTGAATAAGTGAGTGAGTGAGTGAGTTACTATTTAACGTCACATCGGCAATAGCTCAGCCATATCGTGACGAAAACAATCCATTCAATAAAAAGTGGAAACATTTTGAAGATTAAAACCTGTCGACGATGGACAGTAAAAGACAAGAGAATCACAGATATAAGTATAAAACTAGCGAGGAAAGTTAAAATATTCCAATCAAAGAAGACAATACAATATATAATACGGGCTATAGATCGCCAACAACTGAAGGTAGATCACCATACTAGGGCCCATGGGGACTAACATTACGTTTGCTACCTGCATGGACCCCAGCTGGATTTACACCACCCCTTCCGCCATTGGCGTTGATGCTGAGATTTAGCCATACATTAAAAACACAAAAATACTACGATTAAAAACCCGGTACACTTACACTTAAATTGACTTGAAATGTATCTGAATAAGTGATTTGGATAAAGATACATGGCAACCAACACACTCCATAGGATACAACTCTTATGATGACTGTTTTGCTTCCCTAGGTGAATTGGTACTGACGAGCTCACCAGCAACAGCAACAGACGGAGAACGTTTCACCTTGATCTGTAGCGTCTCTTCTGGTTTTGTGGTAAACATGGCATGGTTACAGGAGAATACAACAAAGGTCATTACGCAACTTTTCAACGGTTGTACAAAGCAAAAACCCGTTGTGGGGAATAACATCAGCCGTTTCAGTGTGAGCTGCATTAACACGGTCCACAGTATACAGTTTAAATTCAGCTCCACCAGAGATCAAGGAGGATGGCAGTGCGGGAATATTACAACCGATACCTACATACACCCGAGAAGCAGCATTCATAGTATAGGTGGGTATACGTATGACGTACCCACTGTGTTTGAATTAATATATTTCACAACACAGTAAATCAATAAAACACGTACAGCTGATGTCAGTGACAGACACTAAGTGCTGTTTGAAAAACAAGGAGCATTGTGAATAAAGAAATCGTTGCTGACATATATTCTGTCATTTGGAACGTGGGTCAATTTCAATTTCATTGCCTATATAAAACATACTTTAAAAATTAACATTCGCTCAAATGAATGATCATGTTTTCTAGAAGTATAATCTTCATATATGCAGACATAAACACCCGTCTCACAGGTAAGGGGGAACGTGCCCAGACGTCAACTCAATCACCATTTAACTTTCAGCAGTTGCAATTCCTGTCATGTCAACTCAGTCTTTACCAACAACGACCCGGTATAGGGAGACTACATCCGAACCTGGGACAGTGACACCCCAGAAAGGTAATTCTCTCGCTCATTGTACATATTTAGAAAGTTAGTATCTGTCACACACATTATGAAATAGTATCGTTTAAAAGAGGTTTAATGCGGCAGCCTCTGATATAAAACAATAATGATTGTCGAGAATATGTTATTAAGTCATTAAGACTAGTCAGTGTAGCAACACTCAGTAACATTCCAGCTCTATGACGCCGTTATTGTCAGAAATGGCCCACGCCGTTGGGGTACAAGGTCATCATATAGACCAAGTCACTGAGTGGGAGTGAGTGAAACATGTTTTAAGCCGCATCAGCAACTTTGCAGCTATTCGCTGCGAGAAATACTTTTTTTATGTTACATTCTAATTCAACTTAGTATGTTACACGAGTTCTGATTGGTCAATGCTATAAATTTCCGACCATATAATCAGCATATACGGTCGCAATTTGAAAACCGATTCACCCAAACCTTCGAATGTATCCCTACACTATTGGGGAAACGCTGTGTTTCATGGCATTGTCATTTGCAGAAGCCCTAGGTCAATTGACTCCCCTATCCAGCTAAAATGGGTGGAATTTGTGTTAAAAAATGACAAAACAGTATCATAAATTGAATTTTAAGTTCAAACAACTTACTCGCATGGAGCTGTTTACCCAACACTGTTAGATCATGAAACAAGAGTTATGACGTCATTATGGAGCTTGACGTCACCTGCTGTGACATCATTTGACAACAGAACTGACAATGGCCCGTAGTTAAAGAATCAGCGGGCCGCTCATTTCTGATAACTAGAGGGCGGTTCCATCATAATTCCGTCCATGTTATGCATAACATTATGATTTATTCTTCTTTGTCAGATTTAGTCAGTGTGCACATAATAAACGTGATGAAGTTTGAAAAAGGAACTACTTGTTCTGGCGATGGTGTAAGTTCAAGGAGTTCAATAGCCGCAAATTTAGTTATATAACGTTAAATTTGCGGCTATATAGCCACCGGTATACGTCCCCAATTCGTCAAACACAGTACAGTTATCCCCTAAATATATACTGAAAGGCAAGAGAAACATCGTAATATTGCAACTGACATTTAAGCATCAATGGAGTATTTTTTCTTATTACCCACGTGGTCAACGTATGGGTAGTTGCATACTAATCTCGTACGTCACACGACTTGACCTGAGATTCTAACGATTTGATTGGCTAACCGATGACCTCTCAATTAGGTCACATTCTGACGTAACTATTTTTTCATTCATAACAAACACGTGAATTCATTCATTCTACAACTTAAATGCATTGTGAGAATGTAAACATTGCGAACGTTTGCCGTGTCGCTGTTTAATTGTGGGTAATAAATAAAATACCACACTCGGTCTCATTACATACGAATTATACGAAACTCGCGCGTGACCTTCCTATGGCTTTCGCTCGGTCAGATAACATAGGAAGGACACTCGTTTCGTATACTTCGTATGTAATGCGACCGAGTGTAGTATTCTCTATCTATTCTGTCAAAAATATACACCGGAAGTCAAGTTTGAGGAAAACTTGAATCGTGGTCGGATAGCCTGTATTGCCCAATAAAGTATTGTTTGAGATTGAGGTTTTAAATGTTTTTGTTTGTGGAAAGGGAAGAGTTCGCACAAACACAACTTTGAAATCGAGATGCACGTGCATCATGCATGCATTCAGGCATAACTTGCCGGCTTGAATGGCAACCGTTCACTTGTTAACTGAACACAGCTCTATGGCTAGGTTAACGAAAGGAGTTGATGGACGATATGACGGTCCTGGCGACGTGTTGTAAGATGGGGTCTACCACTATGTGGACAGTCATCAGTGCTGTTGGTGGCGTTGTATCGCTGTCTAAGACGTTCTATCGTTCGTAAGCTGCAATTGAAGCCATGAGCAATGAGTCGAGCACGTTGACCAGCGCCTAAACGTCCAATGGCTTGTTGACGTTGATCTCTCGCTAACCTTGCATTAGATGCTGTGTTCAGAACAAGTGAGCGATTAAGGCGATACTTAATGGGCAAAACTATGGTGTCCTATAATTGCCATCGCGTGGCGCGTAAAAAAAGAACTACGTCGTGGGCGACGTCGCCCACGACGTCGCATAAAAAAGACTACGTCGACCACGACGTCGTGCAGAAATACACAAGAATGATCTACGACAAAAATACAAAACGACGTCGTCCACGACGTCGAAGGCGACGTCGCCCACGAGGCCGACGTCGTGTTTAGAAATTGTTATATTGGAAAATCGGGGAATAACCTTTTGTGGTGAAGTTGTACTGCTATTGATCTCTAATCACTGATTTCATGTTCAACATTACTACTTATTTAAGTAAACCAATCGAGGGGTTAGCGCCAGAACCCCTTAAGTAAAAAATTCTGTCAAATTTAGTTGATGTTTGATGTTGTGAAAACGGTGTTGTTTTAAGGGATCAATATACTGGTTTTCTACAAAATGTAAAATGTGTCCACTCAGGAAACGAAATATGACTTTTGTACCAGCTGGTTGACATGTGAACCAGCGGGTTTAGTGAGTGAGTTTAGTTCACTCAGTTCATTAGTAGTGAGTTATTCAATTTCTTACATAAACGTGCAAGCTATAAGAATGTTGGAATTGACAGTTTTTATCATTTCCACAAATTCAGTTATGGAAAATGCACAATAGGTTTCTTTATACTTCTCGTGGTGGAACATACATATATGTAAATGGTTATTTGTTTATTGTGAACAAGAAGAAAAGGGGAAAATGGATCTCGTGGAGATGCATTCAGAACGACTGCACATCAGTCTTAACAGTGAACGACATACTTTCCCAAATACCTGGAGACCACAACCACGGACCTGTACACAGCCAAGTCAAAGTGAATCTTTTCGACTGTACCAAAAATACTGACGGCCCCCGCACAAACAACAACCTCCGGGGTTGCAATTGGCATGGCCGTCTCATGAAGGTTGTGGTAAAAAAAACATCCCAACCTATTAGAGATGGCCAAGTTCCTGGAAGATGAACAAGGACTGAACGAGGCAAAGATGCTTCAGTACAATGCCGGCCAAAGACTGTCCCCAAATAGAAGTACAGAGATTTTGAGGAACGACTAGATACCTTGAAGTTCAGGCTTGCAAATAACCACCCGGCATTTTTGCGTTTTAAATCCTGTTTCGTTTAACGATTCTTCTATTAGACGTAACCTTGGTCAGCCACGTTTAGAGGCCGATAACCACTCGATATATAGTCAGACGTCGTTCACGACGTCGCCCACGACGTCGTCCGTTATTTTTGTAGCCAAAATATATTTTACAAAGCGACGTCGCGCGATGGCAATTATAGGACACCATACAAAACATATGGTGTCCCATAATTGCCATCGCGTGGCGTGTAAAAAAAGAACTATGTCGTGGGCGACGTCGCGCACGACGTCGCATAAAAAAGACGACGTCTTGCGCGATGTCGCTTTGTAAAATATATTTTGGCTACAAAACTAACGGGCGACATCGTGGGCGACATCGTGGGCGACGTCGTGGACGACGTCATTGGCGACGTCGTGAGCGACGTCGTGGACGACGTCGCGGGCGACGTCTGACTATATCGAGTGGTTATCGGCCTCTGAACGTGGCTGACCAAGGTTGCGTCTAAAAGAAGAATCGTTAAACGAAACAGGATTTAAAACGCAAAAGTGCTTCAGTCACTCCCGATAAACATTTCTGTCGACCCGAAAATGTTTTTACACCTATATCCAATCAAATACCACCCTAGAAGGCCACTGTTCATTGTATATAAGGCATACCCATCTGCAAATGAAACGATCTCTTCCCCACACTCTAAACATAATCACCGCCACTATTGTTCGGTCCGGCATACCTCGGGCCGTCAAAAGCAGCTTAAACCTCACACATGTATCTTGAATTGCGTTTTAATTCACAGATTAGTATTACATCTACCTATATATCACTTTTCCAGCCCTTTTCTCTCTCCATTTTCACCCGTGAAGGTCCGGATTAGAAAGTGCCTTCAGTAACCATGCTTGTCGTAAGAGGCGACTAACGGGAGCGGGTGGTCAGGCTCGCTGACTTGGTTGACATATGTCATCGGTTCCGAAATGCGCAGATCGATGTTCATGCTGTTGATCACTGGATTGTCTTGTTCAGACCTGATTATTTACAGACCGCCGCCATATAGCTGGAATATTGCTGAGTGTGGCGTAAAACTAAACTCACTCACTCTCCATTTTCAACATAGCCTCAATCAAAAGTGTTAAGTCTCTGTTGGCCTGACTTGGCCCGGGCTGTCAAAAGCAACTTAAACTTCACACATGTATCTTGTAGTCTCACAGATGAATCCTAGATTCTGTTTACATCCAATGAATATAGTTATATCTATCTAAATACCACGTTATAGACCCAGTTTTCTTTGTAACATCACAATGTGGCATTTAGGTAGATATAATACTGATCTATGGATTTAAACACATTTCAAGATACATGTGTGAGGTTTAAGTTGCTTTTGACAGCCCGGGCCAAGTCAGGCCGAACAGACTGAACACTTTTGATTGAGGCTATTTTGAGGGTGGGCAGACAAGGGCTTCACTTTAACGGACCAGTTACCTTTACATGTGGCATTTTGTAACATTTCAATGTGATATGTAGGTAGATATAATACTAATCTATGGATTTAAGCACAATTAAAAATACACATTTGAGGTGTTAGGTGCTTTCACGACACGAGCCAAGCCGGACCGAACGCTTGTGACACAGTGTGTTTGTTGAGAATATATAGAAAAGAAGGCTTCACTTCGAGCAACGTGTTTGCTTAAAATACTAAGCTTTGCGACTCTATAAAGAAGTATTTAGATAGATATAATACCATTTTGCCTTTCATGTGTACTAGCAAATTTAAACATATGCATAAGTGCTGGCTATGGGATTTGGGCTGGTGTTGTATACGGTTTAGAATACAATGAAAACACATAAAAAAAATTGTGTGTGTAAATGTATACTTCCTTTGATCCTTTATAACATATTGCAAAAGGTTGTGATTTAATATATTTCTTTTAACATATATAATCATGTCATAATTTCCCATATAATATGGGAAGCAAATTATTTCGAAGCCATTGAAAATGTCCATGCATCGTATTTTGAAAGATTTCTTACAGTAGGTACATTTGCTTCCAATAAAGCCATACTTGGCGAAACAGGACGCTATAACATGCATATTGAGAGTCAAATGAGAGTTATTAGATACTGGATTAAACTTATAAGAATGCCTGATTATCGCTACCCCCATCAAAGCTATCAAATATTGTTGTCACTGGATAAATGTGGAAAGTATTCATGGGCTTCAGATGTGAGAAATATGTTATTTTCAAGCGAGTTTTCTTATGTTTGGTTTAAGCAAGATGTTGGTGATATAAAAATATTTTGTCAACATTTAAACAACGAAAAAAAGATATATATATTTTCAGAATTGGTACGCAGCAGTCAATTCATCCAGTTTTCTTAGTCATTATTCACAATATAAATCGATGTTCGGACCTGCAAAATATATCAGTGTTCTTAATGATAAGTCCCTTTCAACAATTTTTTTTGTAAATTTAGAATCTCTCTACATGCCTTAAAAATACAACGTTTTAGAAAAGATAATAACACATTGGAAGATTTATCATGTTCTTATTGTTCTTCTGGTAAAACTGAAGACGAACGTCACTTATTATTAGTCTGTTAGACTTTCTCTGCCTGCCGAAAGAAGTATTTAAAATGCACTAATGCTGCCCCACAAACGACATTCAATGTACTTAATTCTAATAATGCTGATATTATTAAATCTGTTGCCATTTTCATAAAACATTTGATGTCCATTCGTAAATCACATGTAAAACCATAATTTCATGTCACGTGACCAATAGTTGTAATTGAGAAACTTCAATTGTACTCTGGGCCACTGGGCCTTAACTACTGAATAAAACCTGTGTGACTGTCTGTCTGTCATTGTCCAGGTACTCCATCAATGTCGGGTGGTTATTTGCAAGGTATCTAGTCGTTCCTCCAAATCTCTGTACTTCTTTTTGGGGACAGTCTTTGGCCGGCATTGTAATGAAGCATTTTTCCCCTTTTCTGCTTGTTCACAATAAACATATAACCATTTACATATATGTATGTTCCAGCACCAAAAGTATGAAGAAACCAATTGTGCATTTTCCATAACTGAACTTGTGGAAATAATGATGAAAACTGTCAATTCCAACATTCTTATAGCTTGCACGTTTATGTAAGAAATTGAATAACTCACTACTAATGAACTGAGTGAACTAAACTCACTCACTAAACCCGCTGGTTCACATGTCAAACCGCTGGTACAAAAGTCATATTTCATTTCCTGAGTGGACACATTTTACATTTTGTAGAAAACCGGTATATTGATTCCTTAAAACAACACCGTTTTCACAACATCAAACATCAACTAAATTTGACAGAATCTTTTACTTAAGGGGTTCTGGCGCTAGCCCCTCGATTGGTTTACTTAAATAAGTAGTAATGTTGAACATGAAATCAGTGATTAGAGATCAATAGCAGTACAACTGCATCACAAAACGTAGTTCTTTGTTTACGCGCCACGCGATGGCAATTATAGGACACCATAAAAACAGGCTCTACGACCACGATTAATGTTTTCCTCAACCTTGACTTCCGGTGTATATTTAAAAAAAATTAGTTCAAATACTCCATTGATACATATATGTCATTTGCAATATTACGACGCTTCTTTTGCTTTTCAGTATATTAAGGATACAAATAAGAATGATTGTGAAATTCACTAAAATTTCTCAGGCAAATATCACGTTCAAAGAAAAAACCTGACTATTGAGATAAAATTCTATATTTAGGGCTCTATTGTAATCGTTCGGATTATTATTATTATGTTTTACAGATTAAAGATAGTATGCAGCAGAGAGGGTTCGGGTGATCCTGGCACAGTCAGGCTGGTAAGGCTCATCATCAGCTCAGGGCCCTTGCCCCCTCTACAAGCAGCCCAGACAGCGAATGGGACTTCTCCCAGGAAACGCTGCCAAGTCGAACCCACCAAGAACTTTCCGGAGAATACGAACACACTGCAGCCTTCTGCATTACCCAGAGTGTCAGAAGGGCTGTACTCCCGGTGGAGAACCCGGGCACTCTCCTGATCTGCGCCAAGAGATCAGGAGGTACCAAACCAAGGGCACCGAGAACAATGGGGAGCCTGACGACAGTGTACTTGGGATGCAAGCGAGACATTTCAAAGGCGAGGTCCGCATATTTATCATGCTTTTCCTGAATCTTGCCAATCACATTGGTGTCAAAAGGGACAGAAAATTCAATGATATAAATAAATTCATTGGCTTTATCAAAAAGGACAAGATCAGGTTTGTTGGCTGGAATTCTTCTGAGGCTGTATATGGGCCTAGTCCACAGAAGTTTGAAAGCATCATTTTCCATGACGCCCTGGACATGTTCAGGGTCGTACCATGGATGGACCTCGGAGTCAAAGCCACAGGCATGTCGGAGACGGTAGTAAAAGCAACGAGCCATGCCATCATGTCGTTTAAGATATGCTGTTTGTGCCAAGGAAGGGCATCCACTGACAAGGTGTTGGACAGTCTCTGTGAATTCATTGCAAAGTCGACATTTCATATTGATATTTTCTTTAAGAATCACATTTAGGCAATTGCGAGTGGGAAGCGACTGGTCCTGAGCAGAAAAAAGGAAGCCCTCAGTTTCACATTTAAGACCAGCCAACTTCATCCAAGGTGAAGGAGTTGGTGGGATTGCTATTCCGTTCAACACACTGCATGTACACACGATGCAATGGCTTCTCAGAAAGCTTCTCCACAAAAGACCGATTCTGGGCAGACTTGGTGAAGGACTTCACCTGGTTTACTCCCATCATTGTACCGTCCAGCAGTATTTCGCCATCAACAAAATCAACCTCAAATCTCAGATTTTGTCCAACAACCTTGGCACGCTTAAAATAGCTGTGGAATTTCTTGCTTTCATCATGAGTCTTCACATGCATCACCAGAAGTACACAATAAAATTCTATCATGAAGAGCCTCCACATTAATCAAACCCCGACCTCCAGAATTGATTGGCATGTATAAACGGTTAAGAGAGGAACGAGGGTGGTGGGCACTGTTATCAGACATGATCCTTCTGGTCAGACGGTCAAGACTCTGGATGTCTTGTTTTGCCAATCCAATCAACTACTCCAAAGGAATAGGAGAGGACTGGCACAGCAAAAGTATTGGTGGCTTTGACCTTGTTTCGAGCATTTAGCTCTGAGCTCCAGATTTTCTTTAAATGAGATTTATACTCGGCCCGAAGTTTGTCTTGAATCTGGGCATTCTGGAGCTTGTCTCGAACTTGCATTCCAAGATAGGTGTAGGCCTGATCTTCCACAAGATGCTCAATAACTCCCCCGCCCCCCCCTCCCTTGTAACTTGACCGAGCCATCATTAGTTACCTTGCCACGTTTCAAATGAAGAGTATTACATTTGTCGAGTCCAAATGTCATGCCAATATCATTAGAAAAGGACTCGACAAGGAGAACCTGCTCTTTCAAATTGGAATCTCCTTTGGCAAGGAGCTCGATGTCATCCATGTAAAGGAGATGAGTAAGCGGTGTTGGGGATCTGTGCTGAGGAGGTCCGGGATGGTAACCGTCCTCTTTATTGAGCAGAAAGCTCAAAGGATTTAAAGACAGACAAAAAAAGCAAAGGACTAAAGGAATCCCCCTGGAAAATCCCCCTTCTGATTGGAATAGATTCCGAAGTCTGCACCTGCCCTTGCGAGTACATCTCAAGTTGAGTAGACCAGCAACTCATTAAAGACTTGAGTAAATCAAGCTAAGTCTAAATCTAATGAAACCTGGAGTGACTGTGAAGATTCAGTGCGGAAGGTGTTGCGTGAGAAGATGGACATTGACGACTCTTCTATCACTATTGAGAGAGCGCACCGTGTTAATCGTGGTAAATCCATTATCATTAAGTTGCTGGATTACAATATGAAAAGTGAGATTTTGCGAAATGCACGATCACTCAAGGATACAGGCATTTACATCTCAGAGGACTTTTCCCTTAGAGTTCGACTCATACAAAAAAAAACTGAAAACTATAATGGATTCTGAAAGAGAAAAGGGTCGAAGATCAAAACTTAGATTTGATAAACTAATCTTTGATGATGGAGAAGTTGTGAGCTGGAACAAACAGGAGGATAAAGCTGTGTTCTCCAGGAGAGGTAGCAGTCGTCGCGACGAAGACTCCACACTGACCTAGGACAGGGGCCGGGCTCACCACGCTGAAGTTATCTCCCTTTTCACATGGAACATACAGGGACTACAGTCTAAACTGTCCAAGCCTGACTTTGTTAAATACTGTTCACAATTTGATATCATTGGATTTCTAGAGGTATGGAGTAATGTAAACAGAGAGCTCGTACAGAACAAATTTCCAAATTTCAGTAATCATTACAACTTGAGAGATTACAACAATAGAGGTGGAGTGCTTCTTATGATTAAGGATTATTTGTATGAAGGTGTGAAGAAGGTTATAACAACATACAGTGATTGCATTTTTCTTATTTTGGATGCAACATTTTTCTGTCTGGACAGAGATGTCATCCTAGGATTTGTTTATATTCATCCTGAGGCTTCCTCTGTTGTGACTGATACTAGAAATAAGAAGGGTGTTGAATACCTGGACAGCTATTTTAGATCTGAAATGTCACTATAATGACACACATATCATCATTTGTGGCGACCTTAATGCCAGGACAGGTTGCCTAGCAGATTATATCATTCCTGATAAAGCAGACCTTATTCCAGAGTTAGATGGTGTTAATGACATCGTTGATACATTCGACACTCCACGTTCCTCAAGGGACTCCGAGATAAATAATTATGGCAAGGAACTTATTAATCTATGTTGCAGTCATGGGATACACATTCTCAATGGCAGATCCAAGAGTGATCCGCATGGAGCATTTACATGTATTGCAAACAAAGGACATAGTCTAGTTGACTATGCATTATGTTCTACTAATCTATTCAACTCAATTAGTGATTTTAGAGTGTGTACATCAGTAGAATCTGATCATTTACCTATTGTTTGTCAGCTGAAGTGTTTCTTCCAGAGGATTGACGACTCGGAGCGATATGATACAATTGCGATGGAGAAATATAAATGGAGACCTCCCCATGCAGACAAGTTTGACTCAACCTTAAAAGTAAACTTAAACTCACTGCCTCTTGATGTCTTTCATGAGATTACTATGGATAATCCATCTCTAGGTGCAAAACTGCTGACTGACATTATCCAAAAAACTGCATCTTCTTGTGGAATGGACTCAAACTCTGTCAGGAGACGGGATAATCATAAACAGCAATGGTTTGATGAAGACTGTGAAAATTTAAAACAAGATAAATATGAACTTTTAGATAGATTTCGCCTGTCTGGGGATTTTTCTTACCTTCAAGAGTTTCATAAAGTTCGAAACAAATTCAGAGAGCTTTGTCGTCACAAGAAGGAGGAATATACAATAGCAATAACCAACTCTATATTATCAGATTTTTCTTCTGGTAAAAGGGTCAAATCCTTCTGGTCTCATTTGAGACATTTTAGCAGCGCTTCATGTAAATCTGTAGCAACATTTGACTGTTTGTCATGGGTTGAATATTTTAAAGATGTATTAAACATTGAAGACATTCATATTGATGAAGATTTTTTAGCATTTACAAAGGATTTCATTGTAAATCATGATGTGCAAGAATCTGTCTGTGGAATCTGTAATAATGATGATATAAATAATATTGTGAATAGGGACATAAGTATTGAAGAGGTGGAGTTTGCTCTTGGTAGTTTACGACCTAATAAAAGTCCTGGTCCAGATGGTATTCCACCTGAGATGTTTAAAGTTAACAAAATTGTTTTGCAGTCATATTTATGTACTTTGTTTAATGGCGTTTTTAGGTCAGGTAAATTTCCAGATCAGTGGTCACTTAGTATTATATTTCCATTGCATAAAAAAGGAAGCATTCATGAAGTAAATAATTATCGTGGTATCTCCCTTATGGATATTTGTGGCAAAGTTTTACTTCCATTTTGAACAGGCGTTTGAAAGAGGTTGTTGACGTGTTAGATCTGTACCCTGAGTGTCAAGGTGGCTTCCGTAAGGGCTATTCTACGGTCGATAACATTTTACACTCCAAAGTGTTATACAGAAATATTTGTCAAAACAGGAGGTAGATTTTATTGTTT